GCGACACAGAGGACCCTGTCCGGGAGAGGAAGCTGTACCTGCAGGGAGAATGCAGGATCCTCACACAGCACCTGGACACCTACCTGGGAAGGGCGGAGCAGCTCCTGCAGGGCAGCAGACACCTGGAGAAGGAAGCCCAGCGCATCCAGGAGCAGAGCCAGTCTTACCTGAGCTGCGGAGCAAAGCTCAGCCAGGACCCGCCGGGCATGGTCATCACCCTGAACGAGCAGAACTGCCGAGACCTGGCCCGAATCCAGGCGCAGAAGGAGGAGCTGGTGCCGCGCTACGCCGGCAAGGAGCAGGAGGTGCGGAGCGCCCTGCGGGACACGGAGGCCGAGGCCTCGCGCCTGGACGCGGAGCTGGAGCAGCTGGAGCCCTGCAAGGAGCAGAAGGTGCAGGCGGAGCAGAGGGTGAAGGCGCTGGAGAAGGAGCTGCGGGTGACCAGGATCCGCTGTGCTGAGGAGACCCACGCCGTCAGGAGCAGGTTCCTGCAGGAGAAGGCCGAGTGCGAGCAGGAGTTCCAGCAGAGGATGCAGCAGCTCACCTGGGGGGCGGAGGAGGTGGCGCTGCAGGCTCTGATCCAGCACGTGGAGCAGGTGAAGGCCGAGAACAGGCTCCTGCGCCACGAGCTGCTGGGGCTCCTCCAGCACTGCCAGCTCCTCAGGGACGCCAGGACCCGGCTGCGGGACCAGCAGGAGCAGCTGCTCCGGGAGAACCGCTGTGCCCAGCTCACGCCAGCGCGCCGCCGCAGGGACAGCCTGCCCTGCCTGCCCGCCAGGGTGGGCCACTGACCCCGAACCAGCCAGAGCACCCAGAGCACCCAGAGCACCCCAGAGCACCCCGAACCACCCAAAGCACCCCGAACCACCCAAAGCAGCCCAAAGCGCACCCCAGAGCACCCCAAAGCACCCCGAACCACCCAAAGCACCCCGAACCACCCAAAGCAGCCCAAAGCGCACCCCAGAGCACCCCAAAGCACCCCGAACCACCCAAAGCACCCCAGAGCACCCCAAAGCACCCCAAAGCACCCTAAAGCTGCAGTGCGGGGAGCAGGGAAGAGCCCAAAGCATCCCAAAGCACCCGCCCAAAGCGCACCCCAAAGCAGCCCAAAGCACCCCGAACCACCCAAAGCAGCCCAAAGCGCACCCCGAGGCACCCCAAAGCACCCCAAAGCAGCCCAAAGCACCCCAAAGCCCAAAGCAGCCCAAAGCAGCCCAAAGCAGCCCAAACCACCCAAAGCACCCCAAAGCACCCCAGACCACCCCAAAGCACCCCAAAGCAGCCCAAAGCACCCCAAAGCACCCTGAACCACCCCAAAGCACCCAAAGCACCCCAAAGCACCCCAAAGCACCTAGCCCTGACCTGCAGGAGCCAAGCAGGGAAGCGACCAAATCCTTCTGCCAGTGGGAGCACTGACGGCTTTGAGCTCTTGTCGCAAGGATCCATCAAATATATTTATGGGCTAGATCCATACGGATGTTCTCCTTCAGCTCCAGGGAGGAGGGAGCTGCCCCGGCCCTGGAAGGGCTCAAGGCCAGGGTTGGATGGGGCTTGGAGCAGCCTGTGGTGGAAGGTGTCCCTGCCCACGGCACTGGGGTGAAATGGAGAGGGCTTTTCCAGAATTCCATGAAATGATGGTTTTCAGAGCAGCAGCTCTGGGGCTCTGCAGGAGGGAGGTGCCAGGGACCATCCCCGGGAGCTCTGGTGCCATTGGGAACAGGAGGGATCGAGCTGGAGCTCTGCTCCAGGCTCCAGCTGAGCTCCAGGAGTGAATTGTCGGACCAACAGAGGCTTCCCTGCTCACTCCCCACGCAACTGCCAGGGACAAGCCTGGGAATCAACTCACACACACAAAAAAACCCCCTAAAACAACACCCACGGCTATAAACTGAGGTGATTTCAGCCACCCCTGGGTTTGGCTGCAGGTGAAGGACTCTGGAGCATGGCATCCTCAAATCCCAGCATCCCAAAATCCCTGCATCCCCAAATTTCAGAATCCCAAAATCCCTGCATCCCCCCAACCCAGCATCCCCAAATCCCTGCATCCCCAAATCCCTGCGTGTCAAAATCCCTGCATCCCAAACCCCAGCATTCCAAACACCAGCTGCTGTAGGCACAGCATCCCCAAATTTCAGCATCCTCAAATCCCAGCATCCCAAAATCCCTGCATCCCCAAATCCCAGCATCCCTGTCGGAGAAGGGAGACTGGACAATACTCTCTACACTTCTCTCTACACATCCCCAAATCCCAGCATCCCAAAGCCCAGCTGCTGTAGACATGGTATCCCAAAACTCCAGCATCCCAAAATCCCTGCACCCCAAATTCCTGCACCCCAAAATCCCTGCATCCCCAAACCCCGGCTGTTGCAGACACAGCATCACAAATCCCAGCATCCCAAAATCCCTTCAGTCCCAAAATCCCAGCATCCCCAGATCCCTGCATCCCAAACCCCAGCTGCTGCACACACAGCATTCCAGCATCCCTCACTCCATCCTGCCAGGAACACGAGCTGGAATCATCAGCTTGGAATATTTCACTTGCAGTGATGAAAAACTCTGGAACTGTGTTTTCTCAAAGCTCTTTCACTGAAATAACACCTCTGCCAAGTGTTTTTCAGGGAAAACCAGGCTCTGCCAGCTGACAAAACTTCCAGTAACTTAAAATATTTAAATGCCAGTAATTTAAAATATTTAAAAGATAGAGACCAGGTGATTCCACAACTCCTTTGGCCACAGCCTTTGTTACCCCAGCTGTAATTTGTGTAATTTGAATAGAAGAATTAGAACAGAGGATGTGTAATTTGAATAGAAGTGTGCAGTATCACGTGGTGGAAAACTTAGAGTTTAAGGTTTAAAGTTTTTTTAAGTTTGCCCAGCTGCAATGAAGAACTAAAGCTCAGCAGCACAGCTGACGAATCCTTCTCACGCTTCACAAAAAACCTGCACAGATTTTAAAATCTGCACTAAATCAGGCAAATTCCAAACATTTTCCTCTCACTGTTGCTTGATCCCACACAGAGCTCCCTGCCCTGCTGAGGGCCAGGATCAGCTGCATCCACAGCCCTTGGGAATGTCATTTTATCTCTATCACAACTCAGGAATTCCCTTATGGCTGAAATTTTAAACCCCCAATAGCGAAAAGAGACAATTTACAAAAACAATTCAACTTTCCAGCATGTGGTGACATACTCCCAGATGTGAACCGCTGGCACTGCCACAGTTTACTGGTTTTATTTTGCAATTTAACATTTTGTGGCACGTGAGAGGCTTGAGGCCACTTAAAAGAACCACCAGCAAAGGCATCAGCAAAAGGAGGTTTGGAATAAAAGCAAAACCACCACGAGGTTCGTGGGCAAAGCTCACTCAGGGGTTAAAGCACAGAGACAAAAATCAAACACTGGCCAACCTAAAGCTAAAATCACCCCAGCCTGACTCAGCCCGCATCCAAAGGGTGAAGGATCCCGGGGGAACATCCCCAAACAGAGCTGAGGAGCTGGCAGGGATAGCACAGGGATAAAATGCTTCTAAAATCATGGAATATCAGGGGAGTTGGAAAGGAAGGATAGGCCTGGCAGGCCCTGGGAAAACGTGAGGCTGCGCCTGTGTAATCACTTAATGATAAATGATATCATTAGATGCAATGATTGTTTGGTAATTGGATATAATTATTGTTTAATCGCAACAAGAATCATGAGAATTTGGGGAATTTGATGGGAATTACAAAAATCCATGCTTGGATGAAATCAATGTATTCAATAGAACAATATGTTTAATAATTAATATGTAGTTATATAACGATAAGGGTATAAAAACGTGTTCATCCTTGTGAAAAATGTGTATTTTATTATTGGCTTTTTGCAAATATTAAAATGAATATTACATGTGTTATGTTAGAAAGTTATGCTGAATTAATTTTCTTAAGTAGTGTGTTAAATATAGTTTTAGGTTATAACATAATGCTAAAATAGAAACTGTGCCATGTAAGATACTTTTTTTAAAAAAAAAGGACTCGCACTGAGACAGCAGCCACAGGACACCTAAAACTTTCAGAGAAAAAGAATTTATTGCTCTCTTATTGAGTTTTTCCCATCTTGCTCAGACGCTGCCAGGATTCAGAGGAAATTGTTGACACTGACCAGCCAGAATCCTTTGTTTGAATGGAATTCATGCATCATGTATGAGGTGTATGAATATGCAATGGGCTGTTGCTTTTAAGGGTTAATCCTCTGTTAATGTGTGTCCTTTTTCGGGCTTATTTCACCTAGAAAAGGTACCCGGACCGTCTGTAACTCTTTGTTTTTATTGTTTCATATTGTCCTAATCTCAATTGTCCAAATTTTTATTACTCTAATTACTTACTATTTTTATAACCATTTTATTGCAATAAAACTTTAAAAAAAATTAAAAGCAAGTGTTTGGTGTTTTTCACAATCCCGGTTTGGGTCTGCACCCCTGACACCCCGAGCTCTTGGATTTAACAATTCTGTGATTTTGTGTTCCTGACAGCACAGGGGGTGCACAGGTGCAGGGACAGGGGCACACCTGTGAAAAACGCCAATCGCTTCTTCTTTAAAATGTTAAAAGTTTCATCGCAATAAAATGCTTATAAAAATAGTAATGTAATTAGAGCAATAGAAATTTGGACAATTGAGATTAGGACAATATGAGACAATGAAAACAAAGAGTTATGGACAGTCTGGGTACCTCTTTCTGGGCAAAATAAGCCCGAAAAAGGACACACATTAACAGAGGATTAACCCTTAAAAGCAACAGCCCATTGCATATTCATACACCTCATACATGATGCTTGAATTCCATTCAAACAAAGGATTCTGGCTGGTCAGTGTCAACAATTTCCTCTGAATCCTGCCAGTGTCTTCAGGGAAGAAGTTTTTTCTGATAAAGGGGCAATAAATTATTTTTCTCTGAAAGGTTGAGGTGTCCTGTGGCTGCTGTCTCAGTGGGAGTTCCTCATTCCTTTCTTTAAAAAAATAGGACGCTCAGACAGGGCGGTGTCTCGAGGCGTTCCTGTGGGCGTGTGGGGTCCAGTTCGACGTGCAGCGCGGTGACACCATCCGGCTCGGTCAGTTCATGGCGGCGTTCCTGAGCAAACCAACGGGGGAGTGCTCCAATGTCATGCTGGCCGAGGTGCACACGTGCCACGGCCTGGAAATCCAGTTTTTCACCAAACATCCGGGAGAGCCGGTGGTGCTGATCCCGCCCTTCGAGACCTTCAAGGTCACCCAAGTCACCCGGGAACGGGACAAGACACAGCTCCAGCTCCGCTCCACCGGGACCTTCAGCAACTACAACTGCGAGTGGCTGCGAGGTGACAGCACAGGGGACAGCCTGGGGAGATGGGGACACCCAGGGTGGCCATGGGGACACCCATGATAAGGCAGAGGGGACAGGGACACTCGCTGGGGACTGGGACAGGGACACCCACTGTGTGTGGGGGGACAGGGATACCCTGGGTGCAGACACCAAGTCTGGGGAGACTCGTTGTGAGCACAGGGACAGGGACCCCCACGCCAGGGCACAGGGATAGGGACCCCCACTTCTGGGGATAGGGACCCCCATGCCAGGGCACAGGGACAGGGATCCCCATGCCAGGGCACAGGGATAGGGACCCCCACTTCTGGGAGGGGACAGGGACAGGGACCCCATGTCAGGGCACAGGGACAGGGACCCCCACTTCTGGGGACAGGGACAGAACCCCCACGCCAGGGCACAGGGACAGGGACCCCCACTTCTGGGAGGGGACAGGGACAGGGACCCCCATGCCAGGGGACAAGGGACAGTGACAGTGACACAGACAGGGACCCCCAGGGTACCAGCCCTGTCCCTCTCTGGTAAAGGCAGTGCTCTGGGGAGGGGCCCTGTGGGTGGAACACGGGTGGGCCAGGACCCCCATGGCACTCCCTGACTGCCCCTGGCTGCTGCCACCTCTAAGCCCACCATGACTCCCCTGACCTCCCTGGCCCCTGTACCCCCCGTTCCCCCCCGTCACCTGTCCCCTCATGCCCCCTTCACTCCTGCCACCCCTGAACCCCCATTTTGGCCGTTCCCGACCCCCTCACTCCCCCCATGGTCTCTCATTTTGCCCCTCTTTGTTGTCCAGGTGGGAGCATCCCCAGGGACCCCTTCCACTTTGGAGGACCCCTCCTGGCCACCACAGCCCTGGCAGTGGCCACCGGGATCCTCTGAGCTCTAGGCCACCGAGGTCACCGAGGTCTCTGTGGCCACTGTGGCAGCCGTGGCCACCATCATCACCAAGGCTCCCTCAGCTCCAAGGCTGCCACAGCCGCTGTGACCGCTGTGCCCACCGAGGCCATGGTGCAAACAATTCTATTAACCTATTCTTCCATAACAATTCCATTAAATAAATCTGACAAAGCCAGCAAAAAGTGACAGTTCCGAAGCCGGGCTCGATGTCATTCTCCAGAAAAACACTCGTGGGAGCGTCTCTTTCCCTCAGCCTTGAAGAGAATCCTTGGGAAGCATTCCCTTCCCGAGGGAGGAACCTCACACGCATTTCATTCCAAGCAGGAACAGGGGAGAGGAATCGCTGTCTGAGGGGGGACAGGACATTCCCAGGGTCAGGTGATGACAGCCAGGCCCAGCTCTGGTGTTTTACCCTCAGTTGTCAGTTCGGGGTAGGGGATTTGGTCTGATTTTAGCCCAATTCAGCACCAAAATCAGCACCAGACCCCTCTCAGTGCAGCCCCAATGGCCACAAATGGGAATCCCTGCATCCCCAAATCCCTGCATCCCAAACCCCAGCTGCTGCAGACACAGCATCCCCAAATCCCTGCATCCCACACCCCAGCTGCTGCAGACACAGCATCCCCAAATCCCTGCATCCCAAATCCCTGTATCCCCAAATCCCTGTATCCCCGAATCCCTGCATCCCACACCGCAGCTGCTGCAGACACCCCTGCATCCCAAATCCCTGTATCCCCGAATCCCTGCATCCCACACCGCAGCTGCTGCAGACACAGCGTTCCCGAGCCCAGCTGCCGCAGCCCCCAGCTGCATGCCAGCGTGCCAGCTGTGCAGCTCGTGCTGCTGGCTGTGCTCCAGGCTGCGCCATTCCAGCCCTGCTGAGTCTCCCAGCTCTGCTGCAGGACATGCCCAGGCCTGGCAGCAACGCCCGGAATTCCCTGCTGCAGTTCCCTGGACATCATCCTGCTTAGATCGGCATTTCGTAAGTGACAGGATCATTTCCTCCAGCCTCCTGCTGGATCCCAGACCTGTGGAATTCCTGAGCACAGGCTCAGCGCAGTTCCTCTGGATCAGGGCTCCCTCCCAGCACCCCGTTCCTTGCTGTGCCAGGACAGGAGCCCCCAAGGGTGAATCCCCCTCCCCAAGCTCCCCCTTGGCTCCATCCCAACCCCCTGGGGCCCATCCTGGAGGGAGCTCGGGGCTGGGCAGGGGCACCCACAGGACCTCTGTGGGCCAGCCCTGCTCCCCAGAGTGCCAAACTGGGCCGAGGAGGGACCAAACTGGGCCGAGGAGGGGCCGAACTGGGCCGAGGAGGGACCAAACTGGGCCGAGGAGGGGCCAAACTGGGCCGAGGAGGGGCCGAACTGGGCTGAGGAGGGGCCAAACTGGGCCGAGGAGGTGTCAGTGCAGTGCCAGCCCTGGGCCAGCCTGGCCGAGGTGGTGGCAGCCCTGTCACACACACACGCACAAGTGACACCGCCTTTGTTTGCGTTTTTATCTCAACTCCCCAGACCCCAGATCCCTGTGCCCGCCCTGGAATGTCCTGGAATGTCCTTTACACAAAAACCCTGGGAGGCAGAGGGGGCAGGGCCGGTCCCCAGAGTAGAGCTTGGCCAATTCCTTGGAACAGAGCTGGGCTGATTCCCTGGATCCGAGCTTGGCCAATTCCTTGGAACACAGTTGGACCATTTCCCCGGATCTAAGCTTGGACAAGCCCTGGGACCAGAGCTGGGCCAATTCCCTGGATCTGAGCTCAACCAGATGAGCCCTGGGATCACAGATAGACCAATTCCCAGGAGCCAAGCCCAGCCAAGCCCTGGGATCAGAGTCAGGCCCATTCCCAGATCCAGGCCCTGGGATCAGTCAGGCCCATTCCCAGATCCAGGCCCTGGGATCAGTCAGGCCCATTCCCAGATCCAGGCCCTGGGATCAGTCAGGCCCATTCCCAGATCCAGGCCCTGGGATCAGTCAGGCCCATTCCCAGATCCAGGCCCTGGGATCAGTCAGGCCCATTCCCAGATCCAGGCCCTGGGATCATAGTCAGGCCCATCCCCCGAGCCAGGCCCTGGGATCAGAGTCAGGCCCATCCCCAGATCCAGGCCCTGGGAGCAGGGCTGGGATCAGCCCCAGATCCAGGCCCTGGGATCAGAGCTGGGCCCATGCCCAGATCCAGGCCCTGGGAGCAGGGCTGGGATCAGCCCCGGGGCGCAGTTCATGCCGAGAGGTCGCTGTTGTCGAACCTCTCCTGGTCGTAGACCTCGGCCACCACCTTCCTGCCCGCGAACCAGCGCCCGTTGAGCGCCTGGATGGCCTTGTGAGTCTCTGAGGCCATGGAGAACTCCACGAAGATCTTGACGATGATCTCGGCGTCCTCCTCCTCGCCCTGCTTCTCCTGGTAGATGATGACCCTGTTCACGGCCCCGAACTTGCCGCACTCCTCCGTCACCTCTCCCTCCAGGTCGTCGTCGATGTCCTTGGGGTCCACCATGTTCCGCAGCACCATCACCGTGGACTGCAAGGGAGGGAGCGGGCAATGAACGCCTGGGGACACGCAGGGGCACAGCCCTGCACCCCAAACCCCAAACCCCACTGCTGGGCACTGCAGGCACGCCCCAGGACCTCTGGCTCAGGCTCTCAGGGACGATCGCTGAGTTTCTATTGCTGCCTGGCAACCCGACAAAGGAGGAATGAGGAGGAGGACTTCATCTTATTAGAAGGCTAATTCATTACTTTATTATACTGCATTATGTTACATCTAAACTGAATCTGCCAAGCACCTGCTCTGCAAACTCTGCACTCATCTGGTGACTGCCCACACACACTCCTGGTCCTGACAGGCCAAGGAAACAAACCACCATCACTCTGGGCAAACAATCTCCACAGTGCATTCTACTCTAATTCTAGTTCTGCAACACAGGCGCAGCAAATGGTAAGAACTGTTTTTCCTCTCTCTGATGTTCAGAGAATGTGAAACTCAGAAATATCCTTGGGAAGAACTGTGCCTTGCTTTTCTCTGTGAAGAGAAATGCGACAACAAGTTTGCGGGCCGGTGTGGTGCTGGCTGTGAGGAGCCAGCCCCTGGATCAGAATTCCTCTGGGCTGGGAATGCTGTGTGCCATGTCCTGGGACACACCCTGGAAGCACAACGAGTCTCGGGCACCACTCTCATTTTCCCTGTGCTGCTGCCAGCCAGGTATGTCACTGTCATATCTTCTGGAAAAATCCCTTTGCCAGGATCCTCTCCTGGGAAGCCGAGAAACCTCAGAGAAATATGTACACAATAATTATCTGATTTGCTTCTCCTGCTTTGGGATGTGGTAGGTGACTGCTTCATTGGTTTCATGTGAATTGTTTTTACTTAATGACCAATCATAGTCAAACTGTGTTGAGACTGGGGAGAGTCACAAGATTTCATTAGTGTCTTTCCAGTTTTCTGTCTGTATCCTTTCTGTAATCTTTAGTATAGTTTGGTTTAGTATTCTTTAATAACATAATATCCTAAAATAATCAACTAGCCTTCTAAGAACATGGAGTCAGATTCATCATTTCCTCGCCTTTGACAGGAGACCCTGAAAATACCACACAGGTATTTTTGGCTTCTTTCACAACTCTCTCTGTGTTCCTTTCCTGCCCTCCCGATTCCCCAGGTGCTCTGGGTGCTCCCAAGAGGACACACGGGCAGGTCACACCCCTTCCATGACTGAGCCCCTGGGGATCTCGCAGCCCAAACCAAGGGCACCTGCAGGCTCAGAATTCCAAACAGGTTCGGATGGAGCATTACATTTAAAAAGACTTAAAAGTTTTGGGTTTTTGGGGTTTTAAATTTTTTCAAACATTAAATAAGACATTTAGCTCTGCTCAGCTTCTCCCAAGTTCCCTGTGCTGCTGCCAGCCAGGTATGTCACTGTCATATCTTCTGGAAAAATCCCTTTGCCACGATTCCTCTCCTGGGAAGCTGAGAAGCCTCAGAGAAATATGTACACAATAATTGTCTGATTTGCTTCTCCTGCTTTGGGATGTGGTAGGTGACTGCTTCATTGGTTTCATGTGAATTGTTTTTACTTAATGACCAATCATAGTCAAACTGTGTTGAGACTGGGGAGAGTCACAAGATTTCATTAGTGTCTTTCCAGTTTTCTGTCTGTATCCTTTCTGTAATCTTTAGTATAGTTTGGTTTAGTATTCTTTAATAACATAATATCCTAAAATAATCAATTAGCCTTCTAAGAACATGGAGTCAGATTCATCATTTCCTCACCTTTGACAGGAGACCCTGAAAATACCACACAGGTATTTTTGGCTTCTTTCACAACTCTCTTTGTGTTCCTTTCCTGCCCTCCCGATTCCCCAGGTGCTCTGGGTGCTCCCAAGAGGACACACGGGCAGGTCACACCCCTTCCATGACTGAGCCCCTGGGGATCTCGCAGCCCAAACCAAGGGCACCTGCAGGCTCAGAATTCCAAACAGGTTCGGATGGAGCATTACATTTAAAAAGACTTAAAAGTTTTGGGTTTTTGGGGTTTTAAATTTTTTCAAACATTAAATAAGACATTTAGCTCTGCTCAGCTTCTCCCAAGCCAGGCTGTCCCACGGACTGAGGTGGTTGTGGGTGCTGGGAAGGAGCTCCAAGGTGTGTTTAACTTCAGGCACCCTTGGGAAAAGAGGGAACCCTCAATCCTCGGGGAATGCTGCCAGCACTGTCCCTCTTAGCAAATGGGGAAGAAATACTGTAGATTCCCTGTAAAAGCTCAGGGAATCTGTCAGGAGACTCCAGCAGAGGAACAAACTGGACATGCCCAGGCAAGATCACCCAGTCCCCTCCAACAGCCCCCACAGAAATCCATTAATTCATTGTTCTGTTTAATGTCCTTTTTCTATCCCTCTTTTTGTCCTCTTCCTCACTGCAATTCCCATGAACTCCTGTTTGATCGACACCTCAGGGATTCACAGAATCAGTTAAGGTGGGCAAAGACCTCCAAGACCACGGAGTCCAACCCATGACCAATGCTCACCTTGTCACCCATTCTGGGGGCTCCTCTGGGATTCCAGACAGGACTCACCCCACTATGGAATGTTGTGGGGCAAAGGTAAACTTGGTTCTTGGGACAGATTGGCCTGGCCTGTGCCAGTCCCACCCTTCCAGCCCAAAGGCCACCAGGGTTTGATTTAGTGACACCTGAGTTTGGTCAGAGACACCTCACCAGGGCCTGCTCTGAGCCCTCCAGGGGACTCGGGGAAGATCATGGAATGCCAGGATGGTTTGGGATAGAGGGACTAAGAGCCCATCCATTCCTACCCCGTGGCACGGGCAGGGACACCTTCCACCATCCCAGGTGGCTCCAAGCCCAGCCCAGCCTTGGGCACTGCCAGGGATGGGGCAGCCACAGCTTCCCTGGGCACCCTGTGCCAGGGCCCAACAACCCTCATTACTGGGATATTATATGGAATGCTAGGAAGGATTCCTTCCCAGTATCCCACCTCACCCTGCCCTCTGGCAGTAGGAAGCCATTCCCTTGTCCTGGCACTCCAAGACCATGTAAAACAATCCTGAAGAGCAAGGCCAGGTGCCCCTGAGTCTCTCCAGGTGTTCCCTGAGTGCCGTGGGTGAGCTCAGAGGTGCTGTGGGTGAGCTCGGAGGTGCCGTGGGTGTTGCTGAGCTCAGAGGTGCCATGGGTGAGCTCACAGGTGCTGTGGGTGTGGGTGAGCTCAGAGGTGCTGTGGGTGAGCTCACAGGTGCTGTGGGTGTGGATGAGCTCAGAGGTGCTGTGGGTGAGCTCACAGGTGCTGTGGGTGTTGCTGAGCTCAGAGGTGCTGTGGGTGAGCTCAGAGGTGCTGTGGGTGAGCTCAGAGGTGCCATGGGTGTTGCTGAGCTCAGAGGTGCCGTGGGTGAGCTCACAGGTGCCGTGGGTTGCTGTGGGTGCCCCTGAGCCCCCTGCCCTGCAGAGCCCAGCCTGGCACACAGCGGGCAGCTGTCCCCTGCTGTCCTCACCTCCTGCTTGCGGAGCAGCTTCTGCATGACCATGTGGCGGGCGCTGCTGCCCGAAATGCTCATGTGCTCCTGCTCGCTCAGCATCTCCGGCCGCTCCGACTCCTGGAACACCTCCTCCTCCTCCTTCTCCTTCTTCACCTCCACCAGCCCCAGAGCTGGAGGACTGGCCAGGATGGGATTCACAACCCCCACCTGCGGGATGGTCACCGGGATGGGCGGCCGGGCAGGGGTCACACCTGGGAGAGCACGGGGACAGGAGGATGGTCAGTGACAGCTGGGCAGTGGTGACAGCTGGACAATGGTCAGTGACACCTGGGTAATGGTCAGTGACAGCTGGACAGTGGTAACAGCTGGACAATGGTCAATGACACCTGGGTAATGGTCAGTGACAGCTGGACAATGGGCAGTGATACCTGGGTAATGGTCAGTGACACCTGGGTAATGGTCAGTGAGAGCTGGACAATGGTCAGTGACAGCTGGGTAATGGTCAGTGGCAGCTGGGTAATCTGGGAAACATTCAGTGGTACCAAGGCCGTGGTCAGTGACACCCAGGCCATGGTCAGTGACACCTGGACAGTGGTCAGTGACTAGGCAGTGGTCAGTGACACCGGGGCAATGGTCAGTGACAGCTGGACAATGGGCAGTGACACCTGGGTAATGGTCAGTGACAGCTGGACAATGGGCAGTGACACCTGGGTAATGGGCAGTGACAGCTGGACAATGGGCAGTGACATTTGAGCAGTGGTCAGTGACACCTGGGCAGTGGGCAGTGACATCTGGAAAACATTCAGTGGTACCTAGGCCATGGTCAGTGACACCTGGACAGTGGTCAGTGACTGGGCAGTGGTCAGTGACACCTAGACAGTGACTAGTGACAGCTGGGCAGTGGGCAGTGACAGCTGGGAAACATTCAGTGGTACCCAGACCATGGTCAGTGACACCCAGGCCATGGTCAGTGACACCTGGACAATGGTCAGGGACACCTGTGCCAATTATCCAGCTTTCCCCCCATGCCAGGTGTTCCTGCTGGGAACCCACAGCATGTCCCATCTATGGGACACCAAAACTAATCCATAAAACATCCCAGGCAGGGCCAGGGACACGGATGACAAGGGGCAGAACACACACAGGTGACAGGAGCAAGGGGACCCGCAGAGGTGACACGGGAAGAACACACATGTGTGACAGGAGGAGGGCACAGACATGTGCAGGTGACAGGAGGAGAAGCACACAGGTGACAAGAGCACACGCACATGACAGAAGGAAAAGGACACACAGATGCCAGGAGGAAGGGGGCACAGAGGCCAGGAAGAAGGGACACACAGAGGTGACTGGAAGAGGGGACACACACAGGTGCCATGAGACAAGGGACAGAGGTGCCAGGAGGAAGGGGGCACACGCAGGGGCCAGCAATAGGGGACAGAAAGGGACACATACAGGTGCCTGCAGACAGGGGACAGAGGTGGCAGGAGGAAGGGACACACACAGGTGCCTGCAGACAGGGAACAGAGGTGGCAGGAGGAAGGGACAGACACAGGTGACAGAAGGGGACACACACAGGTGCCTGCAGACAGGGGACAGAGGGGCCAGGAGGAAGGGACAGACACAGGTGCCTGCAGACAGGGGACAGAGGTGGCAGGAGGAAGGGACACACACAGGTGCCTGCAGACAGGGGACACAGGTACCAGGAGGAGGGGACCCACCTGTGATGACACCAGGGGCCTGTGCAGCCATCACGGCCTGGGGCAGGGCCCCCAGGGGCTGGGCCAGGGTCAGGGCAGGGGACACAAGCCCCGGGGTCGCCAGCGTGCCCAGCACTGCAGCTCCTGCCACGGCTTCCTGCGGGACACACGGAAAACCTGGGGTCACCCCTGCCCCAGGGACTGTCCCTGCAGAGCACCCAGCCAGCTCAGCTGTCCCACACCTGGGAAATTCCCAACACTCCCATCCCCAGGAGCTCCCAGTGCTGCTCGGGAAGGCAAAGGTGTCACCCAGCCCAGCAGGGAAACAGAAACTCTGAAGCACCTTGGAAGAAAAACCACCTCCTGGAACTCAAATCACCAAGGATACCCTGACTCCAGGTGCCCATAACTCCAACAACATCCAGGAGGAACATCCAGCTGAACAGTAAGCACTTCCATGGAAGCACTGAAATAATGTGCCTAAAACACACCCCAGGATCCCAATGTTTTTTGGCTGTTGTTGCTTTCCAGGCCACTGTGGTCCTGGTTTAATTGCTCACACCCTTCTCTCCCTTTTATTCTCGGGGCTCCTGTAACCTCTGGCGTGGCAGAGCAGAAGATCCCAAGGTTTTGTCCCTCCATCCCAGATGTTAGTGGATCTGTGACTCAAAGCTGCTGTGATATCCCAACTCTCCCCTGCATAAATGCCCAAGCTCTGGGATCCAGCCCATCCCATCAGGGCTCTGCTCCTGTGCCCACAAGGCCACTCCTATTTCCAGTGGAGATGAAGCTCCTATTGAAGGGGCATGGGAAAGTGCTGGAACAAAACCACTGCAATTTCTGGCTCCACTGGTCACCAGCTGCCCCCACTTCTCATTGAAATGGCTAAAAAACTTCTCCCAGTACTTTTGGTTCCTTCACTTCCTTACAAATCTGACTTTTCCTACCTCTGGTAGACAGGGCTGACCCTTGCTCCTCCCTCTTTAGTGCCACTCTCCTCACAGGAACAGATCCTGCAGTTTCTTGACAGAACAGCAGGATTTACCCCTCTGTACCATATCCCTACCATTTCACTTAAGCAGAGTCCATACTTCCTTCCCAAAGTGATTTTGATCCAAGTAATTCCAGCCATGTCTCAGCTTCCTCCCTGCCCTGACTGCAGAGCTTTCCAGCCCTGTGGAATCTCTGCTGGGCGCCTGCGAGTTCCAGGTGAGGGGCAGCTCCTCCCACGCCTGCCTCCACTTTTGATTCAGGGAAACACTCCCCAAAAAGCCCTTTGATGCCTCAGCTGCAGCAGCACCAGGGGCTGCACTGACCAGCAATTCCTGCCCAAGAAAATCCCACAACACAACAGTGCTGGAATTGTCTTGCTCCATGGGCTAAGGTGCCATGGGGGGATCCTGCTGCCCAAGGCAGGGATGGGGGCACAGCCATGGGAATCTGTGCCCAGTGGCCCCACCCAGGAGCTCCTGGTACTTCAGGAAAATGAAATCAGAGAACTCAAGTTCTGTATCAATATCCAACCCAACCCATCACTGCCTTTCCCTGTTTTTAGCAGCCTAAAGCCATCCCAGGCCTGTTCCACCCTGCTACAGGTGTGACCTTCAGCCAGAGTGCTGCTCACACAGCTGCTCCTGCTCCCAGCCCTCACCCCTTCCATGTCCTTCCCTGCTTTCTTTCAGCCTCTCCTGCATCCATTTTTCCCTCACTGCTGGCTTGATTTCCAGACGAGGAATTCCCTCCACCCTTCCCCACCAGTTCTTGAAATAAAGCTCTCATCAGCTGTGCCAGATCATTCCAAAATCTAGTGTCTCAGACTCCCCAGCTGCCAGGGACAAGCTTCCATGTGTGAAATCCTGGGACAGAGTATGATCTGGAATCATGGCATCCTGGAATGGCTTGTGTTGGAAGGGATCTTAAAGCTCATCCAGTCCCACCCCTTGCCATGAGCAGGGACACCTTTCAGTACCCCAGGTTGCTCCAAGCCCTGTCCAACCTGTCCTTGACAGGGCAGCTTCTCTGGGCACCCTGTGCAGTGCTCTGTGCTGTCCCTGTGCTTTACCTCTGCTGTCCCTGTCCCTCCCCTGAGCCACCCCCACGTCTCACCTGTGCCTCCCCTGAGCAGTCCCCATGTCTCACCTGAGGCTGTCCCTGTGCCTCCCTTAAGCTATCCTTGTGTCCCATCTGACCTGTCCCTCTGCCTCCCCTGTTCCACCCCGTGTCTCACCTCTGCCTCCCGTGTTCCACTCTCTCACCTGTGCCTCCCCTGTTCCACCCCTGTGTCTCACCTGTGTTCCACCCCCCTGTCTCACCTGGGCCTCCCCCTGTTCCACCCCCTGTCTCACCTCTGCCTCCCCTGTTCCACCCCTGTGTCTCCCCTGTTCCACCCCCGTGTCTCCCCTGTTCCCCCCCCTGTCTCACCTGTGTCTCCCCTGTTCCACCCCCGTGTCTCCCCTGTTCCCCCCCCTGTCTCACCTGTGTCTCCCCTGTTCCACCCCCGTGTCTCCCCTGTTCCCCCCCCTGTCTCACCTGTGTCTCCCCTGTTCCACCCCCGTGTCTCCCCTGTTCCCCCCCCTGTCTCACCTGTGTCTCCCCTGTTCCACCCCCGTGTCTCCCCTGTTCCCCCCCGTGTCTCTCCTGTGTTCCACCCCGTGTCTCACCTGTGCTGTGATCTTGGCGGTGGCAGCAGCAGCAGCCACAGCAGCTGCAGGGGGGAGCCCTCCAGGTGTGGCGGGGGTCAGCAGTGGCATCGGGGGCGTCACGGCCTTGCCCACCCGCAGGTACTGACCCCCCAGGTCAAAGAGGTTCATGGAGGACACGGCGTCCTGGGAGGACTGGGCCTTCTCATACTCTGCAGGAGGAGATCATTCACCCATGAGCCTTCCGTTGTTCAATCGTGGAATTATGGAATGGTTTGGGTGGGAAGGGACCACAAAGACCTTCCAGACCCACTTCCTGCCCCCTGCCATGGGCAGGACCACCTTCCACTGTCCCAGGCTGCTCCAAGCCTGTTCAACCTGGCCTTAGGCACTGCCAGGGCTGGGGCAGCCACAGCTCCTCTGGGCACCCAGTGCCAGCACCTCACCCCCTCACAGCCACTATAAATTATATTTCTAAATCCCGCCCTGGCCTGCTCCAAGTTTACTCCTACCCCCTAACGAAACTCCCTCACCAGGGTGCAAAGCCCAGCCCCAAGGGCAGCCCCAGGAGCAGAGCACACTCCCCCTGCCCTGCCCTGCCCAGCTCCAGCCGGCTGTACCAATGAAGCCGTAGCCTTTGTGCTTCCCTGTCGTGGGGTCCCTGGCCAGGGTGCAGGATTTGATCTTCCCAAAGGCCTCGAACACACTCTTGATGTCGTCGTCGGACAGGTCCTGGTGCACTGAGGCCACGTAGATGCGGTTGAAGGCCCGGGCCTCCTCTGCCAGCTGGTCAATGATGGGCTGAGCCTGCCCGATGTTGCTGGGCCTCCCCACCTGCAGGGACAGCGTGGGAATGGACTTGGGAAGGGCCTGGAGTACCAGGAGTGATACAGGTGCCTCCTCCAGCCAGGTCTCACATGCTCTCGGAGGCCTGTATCACACCCAAGACAGCTCAGCTACCCTTGGAGCCATAAAAATCAGCAGGATGGCTTGTTGGAAACAAAAAGGTTTCATAAAAGGCAAAATAACAAACGGGAAAACCAAGCCAGGTGCAAGAGGTTCTTGCTCCTGGTAAAACACCTCACAAAAGCAATTAGTTTCTTTGTTCTCTTCTTTTTTTCTAGTAAATTGTCCAGGCCGGACTTTTTGGCTCCTGCCCAATTGGCTCTCCTTACGTTTGAGGTGAAGTCCCCTAGGCCTGTGAGGTGGCTTTTCACCTAACCAAGGAGAGAAACTTCTGGGGTTCTTTGGTTTTTAGGGGGACAAAGGACAGCTTTGTCACTCTGTCAACAGAGGGCACATTCCTACACCGGAGTGCTGAGGGAGCTGGGAAGGGGCTCAGCCTGGAGAAAAGGAGGCTCTGGAGAACCAGGAGTGCTGAGGGAGCTGGGAAGGGGCTGAGACTGGAGAAAAGGAGGCTCTGGAGAACCAGGAGTGCTGAGGGGGCTGGGAAGGGGCTCAGCCTGGAGAAAAGGAGGCTCTGGAGAACCAGGAGTGCTGAGGGGGCTGGGAAGGGGCTCAGCCTGGAGAAAAGGAGGCTCTGGAGAACCAGGAGTGCTGAGGGGGCTGGGAAGGGGCTCAGCCTGGAGGAAAGGAGGCTCTGGAGAACCAGGAGTGCTGAGGGAGCTGGGAAGGGGCTCAGCCTGGAGCACAGGAGGCTCAGGGGGGCCCTTGTGGCTCTGCACAGCTCCTGCCAGGAGGGGACAGCCAGGGGGTTTGGGCTGTGCTCCAGGGGACAGGGACAGGACAAGGGGAAACAGCCTCCAGCTGTGCCAGGGGAGGTTCTGGCTGGACATCAGGAGGAATCTCTTCAAGGAAAGGCATTCAGGCATAGGAAAGGGCTGCCCCAGGAGGTGCTGGAGTCCCCATCCCAGCAGACATCAAAGGAATGCCTGGACGTGGCACTCAGTGCCCTGGGCTGGGTGACAGGGTGGGGATGGGTGACAGACTGGACTCGGTGGGCTGGGAGGGATTTTCCCACATGAACAGCTCCATTATTCTGTGGTATGGACAGGATGGCCCATGGAGCAGGGCAGCACATGGCCCCTCCCTGCCTGTGCAAACCACAGCACAGCTCAGAGGGAACAGGTCCAGGAACAGCCTGCCCTGCCGGTGTCCTGGGCTCTGCTCCCTCCTCCCTGACCTGACAAACTTCCAGGGACTGAGAAGCATTCTGCAAGCAATTCACAGCATTCCCACCTCTTTCCTAAACCCCCTGGGCCATGGCACTCTGCACACACTCAGGGTGTGTCAGAGACACCATGAAAGATATAAATGATCACTTTTGCTTTGCTTCAAAAGAATTCCATGTGTGGGTGGGAAAAGCTGAGTGCAGTCTTTGGAGCCAATCTCAGGTGGGACTTTGCAGGCCAGGGGTTTCTCCTCGGAGAGGAGAGACCCAGAGCCACTGTGTGCTCCATGTTGGACATCAAGGTCCATCAGGGAACAGTCTTTAGGCTCCTTCCCCCATCACAGCGCTGTGGGGAGCATTTCCAGGCGTGGAACCGTTATTGCCAGGAAAAGAGAAGCAGGAATTTCCAGAGCAGGCGTGTTACTCACCTTGATGTTCCTTCCTCCCAGCATGACAGAATTCATCTGCTCCAAGGCCAGCTGGGCAGCCTCAGGAACCTCATATTCCACAAAGGCAAAGCCCTGGGATGGGAGGAAACACCTGTCAATCACTCCAGCTGTGCCAAGCTTTCCCATGGACCTACAGGTGGAATTGATTCCCACCTCACTGATTCCTGCTTGTGGCCCAAGAAGGTTCCTTAGAAAAGCCTTTTAATATGGCAGAAAGGGTCCTGCAGAGGTTCCCCCAAGGATATCTGATCCTGGAGACTCCTGGACTCTGAGGCCCTGCAGCAAAGCCCCACCTAACTAAGGGCTGCTGCCTTGTCAGCATCTCCAGAGCTTCCCCTTGGACACCAGGAGGAATTTCTTCATTGAAAGGGTGGTCAGGAATTGGAAGGGGCTGTCCAAGGAGGTGTGGAGTCCTCACCCCTGGAGATGCCCAAGGAACGACTGAATGTGGCACTAAGTGCTCTGGGTGGTCTCTTCAAACCTCAACGATTCTGATTCCATGCACTTCACCCCACACATCCCTGGCTCCCACCACAGAATCCTGCCCTAAGCAGATCAGGGAGCAGCAAACATTCACCCCCAGTGCTAAAAGGAGCCTGTTCTTCACAGGGATAGAGGCCCTTTGCTCTCCTGGCTGCATCTGGAAAGCCTTGAAGAGAGGAGGGTGTTCCTTGAGGGCTGGGAATCACAGAATCAGGAAAGGTTTGGGTTGTAGGGACCTTAGAGCCCATCCAGTTCCACACCTTCCACTAGACCAGGTTGCTCCAAACCCCATCCAGCCTGACCCTGGACACTTCCAGGGACGGGGCAGCCAGAGATTCTCTGGGCAACCTGTGCCAGGGCCTCGCCACCCTCACAGGGAAGAATTCCTTCCAGAATTCTGCAAAGCTGCTCATTTTGTGTTGTGAAAGAAACGTCCTTGCAGAAGACACCAAAACGCCCCATCACTGGGCCATCAGCACCACCAGCTCCCGCTGCCCCCAAGGAATTCCACCCCTTCCCAGGACAGTTCACCTGCTCTTTGCCAGATCCAGGCAATCCCACAACGCTTTGTGTGGGACAGGACCTTAAACTCATCCAGAACCTTAAAGCAGGCAGGGAACCTCCCACTGCCAGCAGCCCCATCCCACCTTGTGCTTCATGGTGACGGAGTCCCAGGACATGTCGATGCTCTTGATGGGCCCGAAGGGGGCGAAGGCCTGGCGGATGGTGTCCTCCCCCAGCTCGTAGTAGATGGAGCCCACGTAGACCCGGCACATGATGGCGAGCGCGCGCTGCCTCTGAGCCGCCATCTGTAGCGAGACAAGGACTGGCCGGTCAGTGCCGGGCTGGCCGTGGCCACCGGGGCCTCCTCCCCCTGCTGCTTCCCTCCCGGGAGCCAGCCCTGCCGGCAGCTCTGGCACAGCCTGGATCAGAAGGATTTCCCTGCTCGCTGCACAGGCCGCTGGAGCGGATCCGTCCGGCTCGGTCCCGGATAAAGTCCGGCTCGTCGCGGGGCACACACGCTTCGGCCCCTCCGGCCGGGTCTCCCCCGGCCTGATCTCATCTCCAGCCACGCCTGCAGGAGGAGGGAATCCCTTCTCTCTAGGGCAGCTTCCCCCTCCAGGCAGCAAAGGGCTCAGCTCTGGGCACTGGGAGAAGCCCTCCCGCCCCCCCCAACAGCAGAGATCCATCGGCACTCCCGCCCCCGCCCGTCCTCCCCGGCAGCAAAGGGTCTGCAGCTGGGAACCTCCCCCCTCCCTCCGGCACCAGAGCCTCCCCCCACCCCCGGCAGTCCGAGATCCAGTACTGGGCACCACTTCCACAGCTCAACAGCAAAGCCAAACACTCCCATGGCCCAGTGGGACTCCTGGGAAGCGCGTGGTGCCAGTACTCATCCCTGCCTGGCGGCACTGGCTGTACTGGGGCAGCCCCAACACGCGGGTGCTGCACACAGGGTTCCTGCTACGGTGTCCTAAGTCTGCCTGGAAACCTGCTTTCAAGACAAATCCAGCCATTCCTTACAGGAGGGATCCCAAAAGCAGAGCACAGTGTGTCCTTCGTGTCTGTCACCCCCAGAGCAGCTCTAGAGCTGCTGAGGGACGTGGCCCTGGAGATGTGGCCACACCTCGGGGCTCTGGAGGAGTCACTGCCTGCATGTGAGGGGATGGCTCTGGGGCAGGTGGGACACACCTGGGGCAGGAAGAGGCTGGTGCAGCAGCAGCAGGTGATGCCTCTGGCCCTGCCCAGCACCACAGCAGGGAGCTCTGAGCACCCCCTTCCCTCCCTAGCACCCCCAGGGCACGGGGGCTGCAACCAGGGCCTTCAGGAGACGATTTCTGGGGTGCCCTAAGGAGCAGAGGAGCTCTGCCATGCCTGGGGACCCCTGGGGCGGAGGGAAAGCACTCAGGGCCTCCTCAAGGCTGATTTCTGGGGTGCCCTAATGAGCACAGGAGCTCTGCCTGGGGATGCTGCAGCCCAAAAGGAGGGAGAGCTCATCTGTGACAGGCACAGCAGCAGGGACACAGCCTGTACCCGAGGGACTCCTGCTCCTGTCCAGGACTGCCACTGGCCATGGGAGGAAACAACCTGGGAGGGCTTAACTCCTGCCATTCCATACAGGACACTGCAAACAGGGACAGCTCTCACCCCAGACTGTCCCTGAGGAGGCCACATTAGACCCCAGCTGCTGCTCCTGAGGTGACATCAAGCCCTGAACTCTGCCCCTAAGGTGACATCGAGCCCCAACTGCTGCCCCTGAGGTGACATCGAGCCCCAGCTGCTGCTCCTGAGGTGACATTAAATCCCAACTGCTGCTCCTGAGGTGACGTCAAGCCTCAAATGTTGCTCCTGTGGTGACATCCAGCCCCAACTGTTGCTCCTGAGGTGACATTAAACCCCAATTGTTGCTCCTGAGGTGACATTCAGCCCAGACTGCCCCTGAGGTGGCATCCAGCCCCAGCTGCTGCTCCTGAGGTGACATCCAGCTTGCCCACTGCCTGGCTAAGGATTTCCCAGCACAGCTGGGCCACAGCTCTCTTTACTCTGCAGGCTGTGACCAGCAGGACTATGGCACGTACACATGCAGGACAGAGGCTGGGTGCTCTCCCAGGTGCTCCAGCACACTCCCAGCTTCGGTGCAGGAAAGCCCCTCAGTCTGCAGCGTATCCGTTCAGGGGGTCAGAGCCACCACCAGTGTCACCCTGGGTGTCCCAGGGAGGCGCCTCTCCCGAGGAGCCTCTGCAGAGGAAATCCCCACCTTGCCCTGCCACAGGAGTCTAAAGGAGAGGTGAGGGAGTGAAGAGACTCAGGATTTCCAGACAGCAGAAGAATTCCTTCCTGCAAAGGGTGGTCAGGCACTGGAAGAGGCTGCCCAGGGAGGTGTGGAGTCCCCATCCCTGGAGGTGTCCAGGGAACACCTGGACGTGGCACTCAGTGCTCTAGGCTGGTGACAGGGTGGGGATCAGGTACAGCTTGGACTCGATGACCTTGGAGGTCTTTCCCAGCCTTAATGACCCTGGGATTTTGGGCTCGCAGGAGGCAGAGCTGAGATGGGCTGTGCTGACTGCGGGTGTCTGTGGGTCACCAACAGCAGCATCCAGGTGGGAGATGTGCCCTGGGCACCTGAGCTCAGCACAGCTCGGTGTCAGGGCCTCCTGCCTGGACATCTCACTGCTCTCAGCAGCCCCCAGGCTGATCTCACTGCTTCCTGCACCTCTTTCTCCTCCTGTAACATGGAAAAGCACCTGAAGCCTCAGCCAGGCAGCAGTCCCCACCTGCAGCTGTGCAATGCTGCTCTGAAGGGATGGGGAGGTCGTTTTAAGGACAAGCCAAAACCCCACCTTGGGATGCTCTTGTAATCAAAGCAGGTGATGCACAACCCTCACCACGAGCATCAGTCATGACACAGTGACACCAGGGGATGGTGAGGGGACGTGGGAATCTTACACTGTGACACTGAGGACTGAGCCCATGGGAAGCTGCAACTCAGGCCCTGAAACCCAGAGCTCAGGGAGCTCAGGCTGCGCTGCCTCCACAAAGGAACTGGGGAACCTTGGCAACAGGAAAAGTGCTGGACAGGGGGCTGTTTGCACTTTGTGCATTCTGAGTGGGCTCTGGAATGAAGCACCTGCCAAGAATGGGATATCCTGACTGCTCTGAACTGCACCAGGCTCCTGCTCCTGGGCCGTGTCCACCTGTGACTCCCAAGGGAGGAATGGCTGAGGAAAAGGGCTCACAGCCCAGTGCCCTGGGGGTCATAAGCCATTAAAACTTTCCTGTGCCACCAACTCAGCTGTGCCCAGCTGGGGAGAACGAGCCAGAAACAATTTAGGCCAAATTGCTGGAGTTCCACTGTCAGGCAGCAGCTCCAGGGATGGGGGGAGTTCCTGGGCATGAGGACACCATCTCTGCCAAATCCACACCAAGACGGCTGCTCTGTTCCACTCCAAACTTACCCCTGCCCCAGAACACCCATTCTGGCTCCCCACTGCCAAAGAGGGAGACTGGGCATTTCACCTCAGTGCCCTTTTTCTTGGAGTTCAAACCTCCGCCCGTGTTTTACACCAGGCACAAATCTCATATTCCAGCAAGACAGAGAGGTATTTACAAACGTGCAAATGAATTTACAAGTGAACCTTTGGGTGCAGAGAGGAGTCACAGGACACCTCGTCCAGCACGTCTTGGAAAAAGGAGGGGATGGATCGTGCCAAGTCATTCAGCTCTTTGTGGCCTCTGATTAGAAGGGGCACAAAGGCTCACACAAGTTCTCTGATCGGTCCTGCAGCTCTGTCCCTTCCATCCTGCTTTTGCTGCACTCGCAACGTGCCATACTGCCCTGGTCTGGAGCGTGCACAGTAAAGAGAGTCTGAGCCTGGGCTGCACCATGTTCTGCCAACCTCCGGCACCCCGGCCCTCCCCAGCACCGGCCGGCTCTGGGTGCTGGGAGGTCGTTCCACAAGAAGTCGCCCCTTGGTGAGTTACCTTGGCCGTTAGTTTTAGGTCGGGACCTCAGAACTGTAGCATCCCTAGAAATGCAGCTCCCACAATTTCACGGGTGTGTTCAGAACTGGTGGAAATCTAAAGCTGTCTTTGCCCCCGAGTGGCAGTGTCCCCGCAGACTGCACAGCCTGGGGTCTTCTCGGGGCAGTGACACCTCGCTCTGCTCCTGGGCGTGTCCAGTACAGGTGGGGATGTGGGAGGGCTGTGCTGGGCGCGGACAAGAGCATTGGCACCACTACGAACGTCCCCACGCTAGGCCCTGACTAAGACAAGTGCCCCAGAAGAAGTGAATATGTCTATTGACCGATTGTAAAGGTGAGAGAGGATCTCCAAAGCCCATTGTCACTGCTGCCATCTGAAAGACAGTAAAGACAGAGTTCAGTCTGTTGGAGCTGAGCATACTACGGCTGTTTGTACAAACTCAAGCAGAGCGGCGGCGCAGGGGCACCTGCGAGAGGCCTCTCCTTCCTCGGCCCTCACTGCCTGGTCCCCAGGAGTGTCCGGCGCCAGGACCCTGCCGAGTCCGGTCCCACCAGGCCAGGGTGGGGTTGTGCTGCTGCCGCTGCCTCGGGAAGCAGGGTGGGATCCCAGGGGGGACTCAAGGCAATAGTAACCTCTGCAACCACTGTCGTTGATTCACCCCCAGCATTTAAAAGGAGCCCCTCCACTAGAGCAGACCCTCAGAACCAGGCACAGCCCCGAATGGCCTCAGCTGCCGGGCAGGGAGAGCACATCCACAGGGATTCCTCAGGCAAAGCCCTCGTTTTGGGCTTCCTGACTTTGAGAAAAGGCACTGAGACATGTTCCAGAAACCTCTGAAGGAGGGGAGGTCAAACCCCAGTTAAGGGCTCTCCCGGCATGGGCATTCCAGTACAAGCAGGAAGAGCCAACAGAACTCCAAAATTGAGAGCACCTGGGTGCAGGGGAGGGAAACGGGGCAGCACTGGGACACAGGGACACAGGGACCCTCCCTCAGGCAGAGGAGACGGTGACAGGACACTGTTCCCAGGATCCCTTCTGCCTTCACCACCTCAAACATGGCTCAGAAGCAAAGCCCACGGCAAAGTCTTTGGCTTCCTGTATCTCAAGAAGGGACGTCCAACAGGACTGGAACTTTTAACCATTTCCTCTTGGAACAAGAGTGATCTGCGGGCAATTTGTGAGGTTAGTCGGGGTGCCTGGGTGAGCTGCAGGCTCAGGGCTGTGCTCTGGCTCCGAGGGCCCTGAGAACTCCACCGTGGTGGGGGGGAGCACGAGGCAGAGGGAGCGGCTCGCAGGGGGCTCTCACCTGGAGGTTGGTGAGCTGCTGCTGCTGGTGGGCGATGGTTTGTTTCACCAGCACGCTCTTGATGCTCTGCTCCATCGCGTACTTCTTGGCCTGGAAGGAGAACAGGGGCTGTAGGGGCAGCACAGCACAGCGGGGCAGGGAAGGATGCCTCCACAGCTCCCAGAACCTTCCGGCCTCCACGCCTAAGCACCAGGGCACTGCCCCCAGCTCCCCAGCTCCCCGAGGCCCCGGGACACAGAGGATGTGGTGAGGGGCAGCGCAGGGCAGCAGCATGCACCCGGAGCTCGGCGTTCCCCTCTTCCAGCCCACCTCAGCCCCTTACCTGCAGGGCCGGGGCGGGCACGGCCTCCTCCAGTCCTCTCCTCTCAGAGAGCGTCTGCACAGACAGGTGCTACAGGAGGGAAGGGGCTCCACCTCCCTCCTCCCCATGGCCACCCCAGGCTGGGCTCTGCCCGCTCAGCACACCTGGCCTGCTCTGGCTCTGCTCCCAAAACACACCAGCTCTTCTCTCTGCTCCCTAAATGCCCTAGCTCACCTCTGGCTCTGCTCCCAAAACACACCAGCTCTTCTCTCTGCTCCCTAAATGCCCCAGCTCACCTCTGGCTCTGCTCCCAAAACACACCAGCTCTTCTCTCTGCTCCCTAAATGCCCCAGCTCACCTCTGGCTCTGCTCCCAAAACACACCAGCTCTTCTCTCTGCTCCCAAAACACACCAGCTCTTCTCTCTGCTCCCAAAACACACCAGCTCTTCTCTCTGCTCCCTAAACACACCAGCTCTTCTCTCTGCTCCCAAAACACACCAGCTCTTCTCTCTGCTCCCAAAACACACCAGCTCTTCTCTCTGCTCCCAAAACACACCAGCTCTTCTCTCTGCTCCCAAAACACACCAGCTCTTCTCTCTGCTCCCAAAACACACCAGCTCTTCTCTCTGCTCCCAAAACACACCAGCTCTTCTCTCTGCTCCCAAAACACACCAGCTCTTCTCTCTGCTCCCAAAACACACCAGCTCTTCTCTCTGCTCCCAAAACACACCAGCTCTTCTCTCTGCTCCCAAAACACACCAGCTCTTCTCTCTGCTCCCAAAACACACCAGCTCTTCTCTCTGCTCCCAAAACACACCAGCTCTTCTCTCTGCTCCCAAAACACACCAGCTCTTCTCTCTGCTCCCAAAACACACCAGCTCTTCTCTCTGCTCCCAAAACACACCAGCTCTTCTCTCTGCTCCCAAAACACACCAGCTCTTCTCTCTGCTCCCAAAACACACCAGCTCTTCTCTCTGCTCCCAAAACACACCAGCTCTTCTCTCTGCTCCCAAAACACACCAGCTCTTCTCTCTGCTCCCAAAACACACCAGCTCTTCTCTCTGCAGGAGGGAAGGGGCTCCACCTCCCTCCTCCCCATGGCCACCCCAGGCTGGGCTCTGCCCGCTCAGCACACCTGGCCTGCTCTGGATCTGCTCCCAAAACACACCAGCTCTTCTCTCTGCTCCCAAAACACACCAGCTCTTCTCTCTGCCCGCTAAATGCCCCAGCTCACCTCTGGCTCTGCTCCCAAAACACACCAGCTCTTCTCTCTGCTCCCTAAATGCCCCAGCTCACCTCTGGCTCTGCTCCCAAAACACACCAGCTCTTCTCTCTGCTCCCTAAATGCCCCAGCTCAACTCTGGCTCTGCCTGCCCACACAAGGCTCCCTTGGGGTTTCTCTCAGTCCTCCCCAAATCTGGCAATGCCAGAGATTCTGGGGTGCCAGCACCGAGGCTCAGTGCCAAGGCAAACCTCATCCCCACACCTGTGCCTGTCCCCAGGACACACACTCAGCCACCCCTTGGCACCTGGGCTCCATGGCTGTGTTTGGGAGCTGCCAGGGAACGGGAGGATCTAACCCAGGGATCTGAGGGCTGTGCTTTGGAAACCTGGAAATGGACAAGGGGGCTTGCATCTGGCTCCAGAGAAGCCAGAGGGAATGAGGCTGGGAGCCAGCCACCTCACACAGAGGGACAGCTGGGACAGCACAGGCAAAGCCACATGGAACCTCCCAAGGACAGAGATCTGTGTCCCTGCCATCCCAAGGACAGGGATATTCTGGGATGTGTCCCATTCTGGGTGTGGACAGTGACAGGCCAGCTGGAGCAGATCCCAATTTCAGTCTTCCTGGAGCTCCTCAGTGACTTTGTGGTAGCCACACCCTAGCTCAGAATTCCCATCTGACTTAGGATGCTACTTTTCTGAACTGATTGACTTTTTAAATGAAACCCACTCTCACCCACCCCAACATGCTCCCAGAAGTGTCCATGAACTCTAAACCAAACCAAGTAATTCCTGGGCCCAAATGTCACTGTGGGACCCTCCAGCACGGCCACGACCCCAGAGATCTGGTGGGGAGTTCCCTTTGGACCCACCAGTGACAGAGGCTCATTGAATCACACCACCACCCCCCAAACAGCAAATTCCCACCGGTTTTACTCACTTTCTGGAGAGCTTCCTGCTGCTCTGGGGTGAGAGGGGGCAGCCCCAGCTTTGCTGCCGTGCTTTGCCCGTTCTCCATCTTAATGGACTCCGTACCCTAAGGAAACAGAAGATGCTCAGAGAAAGCTGTTCTCACAGGAGTAACATGTCTTCCTTCCCAGAAAATCAAAGCACTTCATGTCAGAACATGACAGATGGCTAAAAACCCTTCCCAAACCCAGCTGTATGTCAGGAAAACCAGTTCATATTACACCATTCCCTATGGGAAGAGCCATCCCAGCAAGTGTACAAACCAAGAGACTGCTGGATGCTCACAGAGCTCTCTAGACACATTTTCTGTGAACAGACAATCAGATAACCCCAGTCCTGGCTCACATCATCTTCATCCCCTCAACAGATCCACTGTCTAATGTCCCCATCAATGTTCTCCTCCCTTCTCCCTCCCAGCTCCGTTGACCCAGTTGTCTCAAGTTTTCATTTTAAAACCTTCTTTAAAACTTTCCCAAATCACAGAATCATGGAATGTTTTGGAGGGACCCCTAAAGCTCACCTAGTCCCACCCCCTGCCATGGGCAGGGACACCTTCCACTATCCCAGGTTGCTTCAAGCCCTGTCCAACCTGGCCTGGAACACTTCCAGGGATGGGGCAGCCACAGCTTCTCTAGCAGCCACTGCCAGGGCCTGCCCACCCTCACAGGGAAGGATTTCTCCCCAGTACCCCATGTGACCCTGCCCTCTGGCAGTGGGAAGCCATTCCCCTCTGTCCTGTCACTCCAAGCCCTTGTCTAAAGTCCCTCTCCAGCTCTTCTGGAACTGACTCCAGCACAGCAATCCCACTGCTGGGACTGCGATTCCAGCATGGTGATTCCACTGTTGGGACCATGGATCCCACTGCTGGGACAATGACTGATTCCAGCAATTCAGCAGCCCAGTGCTGGCACTGCTGGGACCACGATTCCAGCCTGATCCAGTGCTGGGACCCCCAGCTCAGCCCCCACAGCAGGACCTGGCCCTGCCTTTGCTGCTCGTGTGGGTTCTGGCAGCACCAGAGCTGGTTCCTTCTCTCAACTCCACATTTCCCACCAACCACCCCAAAAAACAGCGGGGACAAACCCCAGCCTATGGTCCTGGACAGGCTCCTGTGGGAAGTCTTTGCTCTGAGTAAAAGTAGCATGGAAAAACCTCTGTTCAGAGCAGGAGCCAAGACCAAAAGCAAAGCCTCTCCAGGACTGTCACAGGATTATGGAATGGTTTGGGTTGGAGGGACTCTAAAGCTCAACCCATTCCATGCCCTGCCATGGTGGGGACACCTTCCACTAGCCCAGGTAGCTCCAACCTGGCCCTGGACACTTCCAGGGATGGGGCAGCCACAGCTTCCCTTCCCAGCCCAGCCATTCCAGGATTCCAGGATACACCCTCAACATTCTGACTTATTTTACAGCAAGAATGAGACTCCTGATTTTGTGCAGCCTCCAGTTCCCTGTGGGGGTTGTGAACATGGAGCAGACAGAAAACAAACCCTCCCAAGACAAAATCCTGCTCTCCAGCTGTCTGGACAGCACCCAGAGCTGCAGCTGTTCCCCGGTCCCTTCACAAGTCCCTGGCTGGACTGGGACACCAGGAACACAAGGGTGGTGGGAACACCAGAGCACCAACAGGGACACAGGAGCAGAGGGGGCTGGAGCTGCAAACTGGCAAACTCCAGTGCACAAAGCCACACTCAAGCTGAAAACAAGACCAGCAAAGCGATATGGAATCAAGCAATTGTTGAGACTGTGTTGAGGTGAACTCTCTGTGTGTGGAGACACGAGGTTTGAGTCTATGTTTCTCAGAAGGCTGATTTATTATCTTATATATTATATTAAAATACTACATTAAAACTATACTAAAAGAACAGAGAGAAAAGATGACCAGAAGGCTACAAAGAACAATGGAATGCATAACAAAATTCTGTGACTGCTCACAGCCTCGGCACAGGTGGCTGTGACTGGTCATCCACTGAAAACAATGCACATGGAACAATGGAAGATGCACCTGTTACATTCCACAGCAGCAGACAGTTATTGTTTACATTTCTTTCCTGAGGCTCTCAGGAGTGAAAAAATCCTAGGAAAGGATTTTTAATAAACTGTCATAGCTACAAGACTGGAAAAGCCCTCACAGCCCACCGAGTCCAACTGTCCCCAGCACTGCCAAGGCCAGCGGTGATCATGTCCCCAAACGCCATCCCCACCACAAACACAATCCAGAAATGATGATCTGTTTATAAAAGAAGGCTCCCTCATCTCCAAGATTCATTTTGATTGTGGAACATCCAATAAATTAATTTTAAAAATCCTTCTTGTCCTTTCCCACCTGGCTGAAGCACTGTTTGTCACCAGCTGTCCCTGTCCCTGTCCCCTCCCATGTCTCTGCCACTGGACACCCAGAGCTGTCCCCAGCCAATTTCCAAGTCCACAAACCCTTCTCCCACTGCTCCTCCCATCTCCTTCAGCTTTAAAAACTCAATTATTCCAATTTAAGAGCTCTGAGATGCGGGAGGAGAACAGAGTGAAGGGCTGCCAAGTGTAACCATTCAAAATAAAAAAGTCAGGAGCCCATCCTGTTGTGATTGTTCCAAACCCAGCCCATTGCATGGCTGAGTTTAACATAATTTACATATCTGGGCTCATTAACAGGCACAGCTTCCAAAAACTGCTCCGGAACAGCGAGCTGCTCCAGCACAGAGAGCAAAGCTGAGACTGGAAGGACCCAGCAGTGCTGGCTGGACCCAGGAGCACCCAGGCAGTGCTGGCTCCAGCTCTCTGCCCCCACACATTGCTCTGGGAAGAGCCCACAGATCCAGGGTGATCTGTGCTGACCACGGGCATGGCTCCAGCAGAAATTCCTGACCATATACCCCTCACTGTGGATCGTTCCCCAAGGAACATCACCACCCTGGGCTCCCTGGAAAGCAGACACTGTGTAAACCCACCCTCACACTCAGAGCCCCGAGTGCTGCTCTCCTCTCTCCAGGCACCTCGGGATAACCCTGCTCCCAGGAACGGGCTCAGCTGGGCTCCCTGGGCCAGACAACAGCACTGGGGGTTCGTGCTCAGCTCCTCCCCTGAAACCTTGTTCCCACATCCCTTAACAGTCAGAAGGAAGTGAGGAAAGTAGGAGGAAAACTCGAGAAAAGCTGGTAGAGGAAGCAGGAGAACAGGAGCTTCTTTGGAAAGAAATAAATGGGAATTGGATTCCTGCTGCTGTTCCGGCATCTGAGCATGGCTGGGCCCTTCCAGGGGGTTTGAACTCCAAGAGTTCAGAAACATTCCTGGAAATTTGTTACAGGGCTGAGAACTTCTCTGGAGTACAAACACACAGAAAGGACAGAATCCTGTTTATCTGGGAACCACAAGCAGCAAATCACAGGGAGATTCAAGGAGACAGAAGTGCAGAAAGGAAGGATGAAGCACAGGGCCAGGGCATCGGCTCCATCCCCGCTCCACCTGCCTGACAGGGTGAACAGGAATTCAGGGAGTCCCTTCACACTGCCCCCAGCAGAGGCTGGAACAGCACAGAATGCCAGGATCACGGGGCTGGAAAAGATTCCAGGATCAGGGAGCCCAGCCTGTGCCTGCTCCCCACCTCTCACCACGTCAGAGTACTGAGTGCCATGCCCAGTTGTTCCCTGGACACCTCAAACAGCAGCTCCTTCCAATGGCCTCACCACCCTTTCCAGAAAGGAATTCCTCTACAGCTGGTGAGTGTCCAGGGAAGGCCTTCCTGCTGGGTACAACCACATTCCAGTTCAGTCCCCGTTTTCCATCTAAGCCCTTGGGGATCCCATTGGAACTCTGGAAGCCCTGGTGGGCATGGTAACCTTTAGCACTCCTCAATGGCTTTAGCATGTCCTTTCCCATGGAATGCTCCTTCCCAACTGGGAGCAGCAGTCCTGGCAGCCACTGCAGAACCCAGAGCGTGGGGCACATCCAAAGCATCTCCAGAACTTCCCAGATGTGTTCCTAGCGAGTGGCAGGAGCCCAAACCTCCCAAAATGGGTCCCTCTGCAGCACTTTGTGAGCAAACGGGTCCCACAGCTGCAGGCTCAGCCAGTGACCGTGGCTCTGGTTCCATCCAGAACCATGGAATGCTTTGGGTGGGAAGGGGCTGAGAGCTCCTCCATGGGCAGGGACACCTTCCCTCTATCCAACCTGGCCTTGAGTGCTCCCAGGACGTGGAACTGGATGGGATTTCAGACTGCTCCCACTCCAGAGCAGGCTTTGGTTCCATGATTGCATGACTGACCCTCTCAGGCTCACAAATGGCTTTTGCCAAACTGCACAGCTCAGCTGAGGAGCTGTGGGTGACACAGCCGCTGTCACTGAGGCCCCCTCTGGAGACCACAGCAGGGCAGGGGCACCCCCCCACCCAGCTGGGATTCAGGAATGCAGAAGGAAGGCAGGCCCTGGCAGAGGAGCTGATGTGAGGGCTGATGGTGACAGGGAGCGCTCCAAAATGCCCCCACAGAGGTTGTACTGTCCCAGCTGGCACTGGTGAGCTGCCTGGAACATTGTGCCCATTCCCAGGGATGCAGAGAGCCCAAAGATTGCCAGGAACCAGGAGGGAGCACAGGAGAACACCCACGGGACGTGGGAAGGGCCCAGCCCAAGAAATGAGGGGAACACTGAACTGGGAGCACAGACACAGCCCCGACACGGTGCCACACAACATCACAGACTGTTGAGATTCCTTCAGCAAGGAATCAGCCTGGATCGGCCCCAGCAGCTGATCCCAGGGCCAGCACTGACACCAAGGAGCCATCCTGGGTTCCCTGAGAATCCCACACACATCCCCTGGCACTCCTGTCCCACAGCACACCAAGGTGCAGGATCCTGCACTCCCTGAGAATCCCACACACATCCCCTGGCACTCCTGTCCCACAGCAGACCAAGGAGCCATCCTGCACTCCCTGAGAATCCCACACACATCCCCTGGCACTCCTGTCCCATAGCTACAAGACTGGAAAAGCCCTCACAGCCCACCGAGTCCAACTGTCCCCAGCACTGCCAAGGCCAGCGGTGATCATGTCCCCAAACGCCATCCCCACCACAAACACAATCCAGAAATGATGATCTGTTTATAAAAGAAGGCTCCCTCATCTCCAAGATTCATTTTCATTGTGGAACATCCAATAAATTAATTTAAAAAATCCTTCTTGTCCTTTCCCACCTGGCTGAAGCACTGTTTGTCACCAGCTGTCCCTGTCCCTGTCCCCTCCCATGTCTCTGCCACTGGACACCCAGAGCTGTCCCCAGCCAATTTCCAAGTCCACAAACCCTTCTCCCACTGCTCCTCCCATCTCCTTCAGCTTTAAAAACTCAATTATTCCAATTTAAGAGCTCTGAGATGCGGGAGGAGAACAGAGTGAAGGGCTGCCAAGTGTAACCATTCAAAATAAAAAAGTCAGGAGCCCATCCTGTTGTGATTGTTCCAAACCCAGCCCATTGCATGGCTGAGTTTAACATAATTTACATATCTGGGCTTATTAACAGGCACAGCTTCCAAAAACTGCTCCGGAACAGCGAGCTGCTCCAGCACAGAGAGCAAAGATGAGACTGGAAGGACCCAGCAGTGCTGGCTGGACCCAGGAGCACCCAGGCAGTGCTGGCTCCAGCTCTCTGCCCCCACACATTGCTCTGGGAAGAGCCCACAGATCCAGGGTGATCTCTGCTGACCACGGGCATGGCTCCAGCAGAAATTCCTGACCATATACCCCTCACTGTGGATCGTTCCCCAAGGAACATCACCACCCTGGGCTCCCTGGAAAGCAGACACTGTGTAAACCCACCCTCACACTCAGAGCCCCGAGTGCTGCTCTCCTCTCTCCAGGCACCTCGGGATAACCCTGCTCCCAGGAACGGGCTCAGCTGGGCTCCCTGGGCCAGCTGTCCCACAGCACACCAAGGGGCCATCAGGAACCTGCATTCCCTGGAAATGTGGAATGGATGCTCACAGGTCCCCTCCAGCAGCAGCTGCTCAGACCCCAGGAACACCAGAGCTGATTTCTGCATCTGAAAGGCAACCCTGTGCACACACCTGCCTTGTGTGATTCTCACTGCTGCTGGCACCACGGAATCACTGAGGCTGGAAAACACCTCCAGACATCAACCAACCTGTGAGCTGTCCCCAGCCCGTCCCCTGAGTGCCACCTGCAGGGATGGGCACTCCAGCCCCCCCTGGGCAGCCCTGCCAAGGCCTGAGCACCCTTTCCTCGGAGGAATTCCTCCTGGTGTCCAGCCTGAGCCTCCCTGGGCACAGCCCGAGGCCATCTCCTCCTGTCCTATCAGCTGTGAGGGGGTGCACAGGGATCCCCCTGCAGGTGTGCACAGGGATTCCCCACACCTGGGATTGCCCACACCTGGGATCCCCGGCAGGTGTGTGCACAGGGATTCACACCTGGGACCCCCACACCTGGGATCCCCCGGCAGGTGTATGCCCAGGATAAATGGGAATTCTGAGGCCAGGTTTTTCCTTGCCATCCCCCGTGGAATCACAGGTGACCTCGCAAAGCCAGACCTGCCCCCTCCTTCCCAGCCCCGACCTGGGAAACGCCCCAGGCCAATGGATTAAGGAAAGATGAGGCAGGAAACAAAGTGAGAGTTGTTCCTATCTCCTCCCAACGCCTGTGAACTCACAAAAGGAATTCCAGGACACACAATTCCTCCTGGCATCAGCAGCAGGCTGAGCTGCTCTGGAACCAGAGCCATTCCTCAGAGAAATCCTGTATTTTCCATGACAACAATGATGGGGAGAACAGGAAACAAACCCAGTGTGAAAAACACGTGTTTTATGATTGGCTTTTCGCAAATATTAAAATGAATATTGTATGTGTTATGTTAGAAAGTTATGCTGTATTAATTTTCTCAAGTAGTGTGTTAAACACAGTTTTAGGTTATAACATAACGTTATAAAATAGAAACTATGTATGTGGGACTTCTTTTTAAAGAAAGGAATGAGGAACTCCCACTGAGACAGCAGCCACAGGACACCTGAACCTTTAGAGAAAAATAATTTATTGCCCCATTATCAGGAGAAACTTCCTCCCTGAAGACACCGTCAGGATTCAGAGGAAGAAGCTGACACTGACCAGCCAGAATCCTTTGTTTGAATGGAATTTATGAGGTGTATGAATATGCAATGGGCTGTTGCTTTTAAGGGTTAATCCTCTGTTAATGTGTGTCCTTTTTCGGGCTTATTTTGCCCAGAAAGAGGTACCCAGACTGTCCATAACTCTTTGTTTTTATTGTCTTGTATTGTCCTAAATCCCAATTGTCCAAATTTTTATTACTCTAATTATATTATTACCTTCATAACCATTTTATTACTATTAAACTTCTAAAAATTTAAAAACAAGTGACTGGCATTTTTCACAGTATACTAGGTCTTTAACAGAAGCTCAAAATGAACTGTTATGAATAGTAAAAATACAACCACAAATACCACCACAAGTTTTTCCCAAGTTGACAAAAAAAAAAAAAAAATCCCAGGATTGAATTACTGCTGATTGAGAAGCTCTTGCTTCTCAGCGACGTGTACTCTAAAGGCAGTGCATAATGTAATGTGTCATAAATAAAGGATATTAAAAGTCCCTGGCAGGTGTGTGCACAGGGATTCCCCACACCTGGGATTCCCCACACCTGGGATTCCCCACACCTGGGATTCCCCACACCTGGGATTCCCCACACCTGGGATTCCCCACACCTGGGATTCCCCACACCTGGGATTCCCCACACCTGGGATCCCCTGCAGGTGTGTGCACAGGGATTCACACCTGGGATCTCCTGCAGGTGTATCCACAGGGATTCACACCTGGGACCCCCACACCTGGGATCCCCCTGCAGGTGTGTGTACAGGATAAATGGGAATTCTGAGGCCAGGTTTTTCCTTGCCATCCCCCGTGGAATCACAGGTGACCTCGCAAAGCCAGACCTGCCCCCTCCTTCCCAGCCCCGACCTGGGAAACGCCCCAGGCCAATGGATTAAGGAAAGATGAGGCAGGAAACAAAGTGAGAGTTGTTCCTATCTCCTCCCAACGCCTGTGAACTCACAAAAGGAATTCCAGGACACACAATTCCTCCTGGCATCAGCAGCAGGCTGAGCTGCTCTGGAACCAGAGCCATTCCTCAGAGAAATCCTGTATTTTCCATGACAACAATGATGGGGAGAACAGGAAACAAACCCAGTGTGAAAAACACGTGTTTTATGATTGGCTTTTCGCAAATATTAAAATGAATATTGTATGTGTTATGTTAGAAAGTTATGCTGTATTAATTTTCTCAAGTAGTGTGTTAAACACAGTTTTAGGTTATAACATAACGTTATAAAATAGAAACTATGTACGTGGGATATTTTTTTAAAGAAAGGAATGAGGAACTCCCACTGAGACAGCAGCCACAGGACACCTGAACCTTTAGAGAAAAATAATTTATTGCCCCATTATCAGGAGAAACTTCCTCCCTGAAGACACCGTCAGGATTCAGAGGAAGAAGCTGACACTGACCAGCCAGAATCCTTTGTTTGAATGGAATTTATGAGGTGTATGAATATGCAATGGGCTGTTGCTTTTAAGGGTTAATCCTCTGTTAATGTGTGTCCTTTTTCGGGCTTATTTTGCCCAGAAAGAGGTACCCAGACTGTCCATAACTCTTTGTTTTTATTGTCTTGTATTGTCCTAAATCCCAATTGTCCAAATTTTTATTACTCTAATTATATTACTACCTTCATAACCATTTTATTACTATTAAACTTCTAAAATTTTAAAAACAAGTGATTGGCGTTTTTCACAAAAACCAGCAGCCCCCCCCCCACCCCGGAATTCCGGAATTCCTGCTCTCCCACACCCGCAGCCACCCAGCACAGGGCTAAAACATCCCAGAGCCCGCAAAGAATCCCACAAAACACAGTCCAGGAGGGTTTGGGAACGGGAGCCCAAGAGCAGCACTTAAACAGGCAGATTTGGGAAACCCAGCTCAACACAGAGCATTTAAACTGGCGAATTTGGGAACGGGAGCCCAAAAGCAGCATTTAAACAGGAGAATTTGGGAACAAGGAGCCCAAAAAGAAGTGTTTAAAGCTCCGGATTCTGGAGCAGCACCCCAAAAAGAAGCGTTTAAAGCCTGGATTCGGGAGCAGGAACAGGGAGCAGCAGCCCAAAAAGAAGCGTTTAAAGCCTGGGTTCGGGAGCAGCAGCCCAAAAAGAAGCGTTTAAAGCCTGGGTTCGGGAGCAGCAGCCCAAAAAGAAGCGTTTAAAGCCTGGGTTCGGGAGCAGCAGCCCAAAAAGAAGCGTTTAAAAGGGTGGGTTTGGGAGCAGCACCCCAAAAAGAAGCGTTTAAAGCTCTGGATTCGGGAGCAGCAGCCCAAAAAGAAGCGTTTAAAGCCTGGGTTCGGGAGCAGCAGCCCAAAAAGAAGCGTTTAAAGCCTGGATTCAGGAGCAGCAGCCCAAAAAGAAGCGTTTAAAGCTCCGGATTCGGGAGCAGCAGCCCAGGAGCAGCGGCCTGGCCGTGCCCACAGCGGGACGGCCGAGCCCGCTCCCCGCAGGGCCTGGACAGCCACGGCGGGGCGGGAGCTCAGGACGGCGCGGGGGAGCACCGACACCTTCCCCACACGGAGAAGGCCGCGACCGGAGCCCACAGGCGGAAGAGACCCGGCGGGAAGCGGCGCCGTCCCCTCAGAGCCGCCACCGCACCCCGAGGGCGCGGAGAGGGCCCGACCCGGGCGGATCCGCTCGGCGGCCGCGCTGTATCCCACCCCCCTGGCGCCGGCCCGGCCCGGCCCCGCCGCCCCTCGCCCCCTCACCAGCGCCATCGTCGTTGTCGCCGCCATCTTCTCCTTCCCGTCCACAGCACGCGGCTCTCGCGAGAGCTCCGCGGCGCGCGCGGGAAACAGGGGGCTCAGGGGAGGCAGGTCCTCGCGAGAAGAAGTATCGCGAGAGCTCGGGGGGGCGTCACGTGACGCCCAGCGGTTGCCAAGATGGCGCCGCCCAGGCGCCGCCGGTGCCGGAGAGGTGAGATGTGAAATTTGGCGTGATCCCGGTGGGAAAAGGGCACCAGCGCGGCTGCTGCTGCCTCAGCGCCGCTGGGCTGGGGCTGGGGCTGGGCCGGCAGTTCCCGGTGCCTCAGTGTGAAAAGTGCGTGTTTTATGGCTGGCTTTTCGCAAATATGAAAATGAATATTGCATGTGTTATGTTAGAAAGTTGTGCTGCGTTAGCATTTCAGCAGTATGGTAACTGCGGTTCCACAGTTAAAAGGTAACTTTTGTAGTTCAAGTAGGAACTGTGCATGTGCGAAGTTTTCTTTCTAAAAAGGAATGAGGGACACCTGAATCTTCCAGAGAAAGAGAATTTATTGCTCTTTCATCAGGGGAAACGAACTTCTTCCCGCCTGGTTCAGTCAAAAAGGCGGCGTTAGGATTCAGAGGAGAAGCTGACGATTACCAAAGTCCTGTGTTTGAATGTAATTTATGCATAATATATGAGATGTATGAATATGCAGCAAGCTGTTGTTTTTAAGGGTTAATTTTAAGGTGTGTCCTTTTCGGGCTCGTGTTGCCCAGAAAAGGTACCCGGACTGTCCAAACTCTTTGTTTTTATTATCTCGCATTGTCCTAATCCCAATTGTCCAAATTTTTATTACTCTAATTACACCACTATTGCTACAACCATTTCATTACGATTAAACTTTTAAAATTCTAAAAAACAAGCGACTGGCGTTTTTCACAACACGATTGGCTCTTGGCAAACGTTCAAATGAATTCTGTAGGTGTTGTGTTGGAAAGTTGTGCTGCGTTAATCTCTTTAATTAGTGCTGCGTTAATCTCTTAATTAGTGCTGCGTTAATCTCTTTAAGCAATGTGGCAAACGCGGTTTTTAGGCTATAAAATCTATATTTATGGGTTTTTTAGGAGGAGGAGACAGCTGGTGGGCTGCTGGTTTGCCCGGTGTCGCTGCAGAGGTGGCACTGCCACCCTCCATCCTCTGTCACCTCTGGAAATCTGTAAATGCTGGGGTCAGAAATATGAGGGATCCATGCCCCTCTGGAATATCCAGGGATTGAGGGATCCCCCAGGGAGGTCACAGAGCCCCCAGGTTCGATAAAGGAGCTGGGGCCACCCGAGGGCCGGGGATTCCAGGGGCAGAGCAGCTGTGTTAAATCCATGGATTTGCAGGAGGGGTGTGCGAGGAGGGGCTGGGACGTGCTGGAATGTCTGGGACCCGGGGAGGGGCTGCTCTGGGGACGGGGAATGGGCAGATGTGAGGTGTCCCTGAATCCCTCCCTCGGCTTCCCGGGAGTCAGGGATCACGGGCAGGATGGCACAGAGCCCTCAGTGGCAACGGGAATGGGCAGCTCTGAGGTGACCCTGCATCCCTCCCCTGGCTTCCTGGGAGTCAGGAATCATGAGCAGGCTGGAGCAGAGCCCTCAGTGGGAATGGACTTTATTGATTTGTCAGGTGGAACATTGGCACGGCTGGGGATGGAGCAGTGCTGGGGATGGAGCAGGGCTGGGAATGCAGCAGTGCTGGGGATGGAGCAGCGCTGGGGATGCAGCAGGGCTGGGGATGGAGCAGGGCTGGGGATGCAGCCTGAGCCAGGAATGCAGCACTGCTGGGAATGGATCAGGGCTGGGAATGGAGCAGTGCTGGGGATGCAGCACCGCTGGGGATGGAGCAGGGCTGGGGATGCAGCAGTGCTGGGGATGGAGCAGGGCTGGGAATGCAGCACTGCTGGGAATGTAGCAGGGCTGGGGGATGCAGCACTGCTGGGGATGGAGCAGTGCTGGGGATGGAGCAGGGCTGGGAATGCAGCAGTGCTGGGGATGGAGCAGGGCTGGGGATGCAGCACTGCTGGGAATGCAGCACTGCTGGGGATGGAGCAGGGCTGGGGATGGAGCACCGCTGGGGATGCAGTAGTGTTGAGGATGGAGCAGGGCTGGGGATGCAGCACTGCTGGGAATGCAGCACCGCTGGGGATGCAGCACCGCTGGGGATGCAGCACCGCTGGGAATGCAGCAGTGTTGAGGACGGAGCAGGGCTGGGAAGGCAGCACTGCTGGGAATGCAGCACTGCTGGGGATGGAGCAGGGCTGGGAATGCAGCTAGGCTAGGGATGGAGCAGGGCTGGGAATGGAGCAGTGCTGGGGATGCAGCACCGTTGGGAATGCAGCACTGCTGGGAATGCAGTAGGGCTGGGGATGGAGCAGGGCTGGGGATGGAGCACCGCTAGGGATGCAGCACCGCTGGGGATGCAGTAGTGTTGAGGATGGAGCAGGGCTGGGAAGGCAGCACCGCTGGGGATGCAGCACCGCTGGGGATGCAGCAGGGCTGGGAATGCAGCAGTGCTGGGAATGGAGCACCGCTGGGAATGCAGCAGTGCTGGGGATGCAGCCTGAGCTGGCTGAGCGTGGACGGAATCCCGGGGGGATGCAGCTGGAGCAGGAGCAGCGCAGGGCAGGCACACGGAGCTCCTGCAGGGAGTGGAACACCAGCAGGGAGCAGAGCAGGAGGCCAGGGGCAGCTTCCCCGGCACCGGGGGAGCAGCACCAGCACAGAACATCAGCACAGAGCACGGTGCCAGGAGCAGCATCCCATGGCACAGGGGGAGCAGCAGGAGCAGCACCAGCTCAGCACAGAGCAGGATTCCAGAGCTGCATTCCCACAGCAGCAGCAGCAGCAGCACAGAGCAGTGCAGAGCAGGATTTCAGAGCCAGTTTTCCCTGCACAGCAGGAGCAGCACCAGCACAGCACAGAGCAGGGTGCCAGAGGCAGTTTTCCCTGGCACAGCAGCACCAGCAAAGCACAGAACACCAGCAGAATGCCAGAGGCAGTTTCTCCTGCACAGCAGGAGCAGCAGGAGCAGCACCGGCACAGAGCAGGATGCCAGAGAGGTTTTCCCTGGCACAGCAGGAGCAGCACCAGCGCAGGGCACTGGCACCAGCAGCAGCGTGGTGCAGATCACCAGGACAGCACCAGAGCTGATTCTCCCAGCACAGAGGGAGCAGCAGCAGCACCAGCACCAGCACAGAGCAGGGTGCCAGGGGCAGATTTCCCTGGCACAGCAGCAGCAGCACAGAGCACTGGCACAGCACAGGATGTCAGAGCTGGATTCCTCTGGTGGAGCAGGAGCAGCACAGCACACAGCAGGATTTCAGATGCAGCTTTCCCTGGCACAGCAGGAGCAGCACTGGCACAGAGCAGGGTGCCAGGGACAGATTTCCCTGGCAGGAGCAACAGGAGCAGAACTGGCACAAAGCCTGGCACAGAGCAGCATGGAGCATGGTGCCAGAGCCAGTTTCCTATGGCACAGCAGGAGCAGCACCAGCACAGAGCAGGATTTCAGAGCCAGCTTTCCCAGGAGCAGCAGGAGCAGCACTGGCCCAGCACAGAGCAGGATTTCAGAGCCAGTTTCCTATGGCACAGCAGGAGCAGCACAGAGCAGGATTTCAAAGCCAGCTCTCCCTGCAGCAGCAGGAGCAGGATAAAGCCAGCTCTCCCTGCAGCAGCAGGAGCAGGATTTCAGGGCTAGCTTTCCCTGGCACAGCAGGAGCAGCAGGAGCAGGATTTCAGGGCCAGCTCTCCCTGGCACAGCAGGAGCAGCCCTGCTCTGGGACAGAGACAATTCCTGTTTGCACTTTTCTCACCGTGTGTCCCTGGCAAAGGGCAGCCCTGGGGTGGTGATGGTGGCAATTCCCCATCTCCAGGCCAGGGACTGGCATTCCAGTCAGCGTGGCAGGGATGGGAGGAACAGGCACCAGGGCTCTCTCCTGAAGGTGCCGAGAGATTTTGGAAGGCTGTAGGGGGGACTGGGGCATGACCAGGATTCTGTGGAGCATCAATGAGATTCCTGCCGATCCACGAGTGCGGATCCCGGTGGTGGGTGAGGAATTCCTTCTGAAGCCATGTCCAGCTCCCACAGTCCCAGCTCATGGTGAGGGTTCTGAGCACAGGCAGCGCGCTGGAGACCTTAAACCTGGAGAAGCCGGGGGTGGAGAGCGGGACGTGGCCGGTGGGAAGCTCCACGGGGCTCTCCAAGCCTGCTCCTCCGCTCAGCAAGGACCCGACGGCCGAGAGGGAGAGAACAGCGGCGGGGCTGGCCATTCCCAGAGGGAAACGGACCCGGCCGGGGGCTCCTGCAGCAGCTCCCAAACCCCCCGGGAAGGGGCTGCCGGGGGTGCCGCCCGCTCCCCACACCTCCCCTCGGGAGCGGGCCCCAGCGCGCGTCCCGGCGCCCCGGAATTCCCGGGCTGTGCCGAGTCCTCCGGCGGCTGCCGCGCGCCCAGAGCACGGATCGGGACGGTCCCGTGGGCCGGGCGAGTCCTGCTGGGCTGGGTGGGTCGGGAGCCCCTGGCATCCCCGGGCTCACAGGGCTTGGGAGCGGTGCTTGTGGAAGGCGCTCTCCAGGAAGGCGGCCAGCTTCTCGCAGTCGTCCTGCAAGCAGAAACGGCAGCAGGGCCCTCGCTGGGCTGCCCCGACACCCCCAGCCCCACGCCGGCAGCACCACGAGCTCTGGGGAAAACGCCCTCGCTAGGGTTTACTCCCGAGGAGCTGAGAAGCCTCGGGAAAGAAATTAACAATTTCAACATTGACATTTCAACATTAACATTTCAACAAAAGAAATTAACAATTAACATCCGATGGCTGTGCAATGTGCTCTGGATGTTGCTCACCAACAGGTGCCTCTGGGATGCTCCAGGGGACGGTTCTACTTAATGACAACCCATGGTCCAGCTGTGTCGGGCTCCCTGAGAGTCACGAGCTTTTTTTATGGTTCTATTCCTTTCCTTTCCCGCTTTTATTACCATTCCATTCCTTTCCTTTCCTGCTTTTGTTGCCATACTATTCCTTTCCTTTCCAGCTTTTGTTACCATACTATTCCTTTCCTTTCCCGCTTTTGTTACCATACTATTCCTTTCCTTTCTAGCTTTTGTTGCCATTCTATTCCTTTCCAGCTTTTGTTACCATTCCACTCCTTTCCTTTCCAGCTTTTGTTACCATTCTATTCCTTTCCTTTCCTGCTTTTATTACCATTCTATTCCTTTCCTGCTTTTATTACCATTCCATTCCTCTCCTTTCCTGCTTTTATTCCCTTCCCTTCCCTTCCCTTCCCTTCCCTTCCCTTCCTTTCCTTCCTTTTCTCTCCTTTTTCAAATGTACCATGGCACCAAAGCACACTATCTGTTTTCCTTTCCTTTTCCTTTCCTTTTCTTTTCCTTTTCCCTTCCCTTCCCTTCCCTTCCCTTCCCTTCCCTTCCCTTCTTTTGTTACCTTTCCTCTCCTTTCCAGCTTTTATTACCATTCCATTCCTTTCCTTTCCTGCTTTTATTACCATTCCATTCCTTTCCTTTCCAGTTTTTATTACCATTCTATTCCTTTCCTTTCTAGCTTTTGTTACCATTCCATTCCTTTCCTTTCCGGCTTCCTGATGGATCCTTTCTCTCTATTTTTAATTTATTTTTAATATGGCAGTATAGTATCATATCATATCAAATAAATCAACCTTGTGAGACAAGGTGAGCCGGGAGTGTCCTCTCTCCCCTCGTCCCGGGACTCTCAGACGCACCCACACCCAGTCCCCATCCCGAGCCCTCCTGCGCTGGCTCAGCCCTGGAGCAGCTTTGGGGTGCCCAAAGGACACGGCGGGGCTGGGGCGCGTGCAGGGGAGGGAAGGTGCCACCGTGATATTTTCTGGAAACATCCCTTCGCCAGGGTTTCTGTCCTGGGAAGGTGAGCAGCCTCAGAGAACAATGCAAGCAATAATTAATTATGTGATTTGCCTCTCCTGTGTTCTGCTGCTGTGGGATGTGTTTGGGCACTGTTTGCCGACAGGGGGTTGTTTCATTTCACACTGCACGTGAGTTGTGAGTTGTTTTTGTTTATCGGCCAATTACGGCCCAGCTGTGTGGGACTCTCTGAAGAAAGAGTCAGGAGTTCCTCATGAGTATCTGCCCAGCTTTCAGGAGGTATCCTTTCCCTGTTCTTTAGTGTAGGTTAGTATACTTTTAGTATAGCATAAT